TGAAGTGCACAGACGGGAGAATGATTATCTCCTCGTCCAATTCCGTCTGCTCATAATGACAGGCACTCCATGACAGTGATAAATAGGCCTAACAGTTACCTGTCAGGAAACAAAACCCAGGACAGGTTTCAGCGTCTTTCAGTCGGACAGTTCCACTTTGTTATTATACAGGAATGTTTGTCCCGACTTGTACGTTTTCTGATATAACTTTGCCATGGTGTTAGTAGGACCAATATGGTCGCCCACGTGAGAATATCATCACCTTTCTGCGTAAACTATGTTAATTGGATTGGCTGGCAAAACCGGCCCGGTGTTTGCATAAGGGACTGGCTTAACAACCCACGTACCTGTCCAAATACCGATAAGAATTAATCAATTAGGCATGCAGCCTTGTCCAAACCTGTGATTTGCTGGATATCGTGGCGTGGGGAGAATTTCAAATATATTTTTTATATTTTTTTTATGCCTTAAGGAGGCGTAAATTACAAGACTAAAGGCAAAAAAAAGAAAAATATGTTTTTGCTTTCGGAAAACTATGATTTTCCTGTTTGATTAAAGTATTACGTGTAAATAAACTTAAACTACTTTCGCACATTCCCTACTTTTCGTTCAAAGTCTAAATTATCCAATTGCTTCCCCAATACGTTCTTGTTTATTTTTCGAAATATTCTAAGAAAAATATCCAATTTATTTTATTTTATTATAAAATTAAGAAAATAATTAATTTTTAACAAAGAAAATTGTGCTAAACTCAAAACATCCCCCTTAAAACTAATGGCATTACAGTATATACAGTCGACCCCCCTATAACACTGTTGATTATTCCGTTTTATATGAATTCAATGTTGTACGAGTCACTTATATTTTACAAATACGTGTGCCGGGCTGTGAACGGCTCACATATTTGTAAAATATAAGTGACTCGTACAACATGGAATTCATATCAAACGGAATAATCAACACTGTTATAGGGGGATCGACTTGTATTAACATAAAAAAAATATATAAAATTGGAGCGTTATAATTACGTTATAAATGCTAATTAATATAATTTAAGGCTTATTTGAGCCTTAATTATGCTAAGAAATATACTTATTTAAGTATATTTTTATGTAAAAATGAATTATTTAGACATACGTATAGCTTATTTTACTAGTAACAACGGGTAGACGGTAATTACCGACAGCTTTTTTTTTCTTAATGTAGAAAAACTGTTTATTATTGTCGTTTTTTTAACTCGTAAAAAGTATCATTACATTATTAAAACGGAAACTTTCTCATTACTTTAAATATATATATATATATTTTTCTTTTATTTTAGAAAATTTGCTTGCATAAACTAGGAAATCACAAGCTTAACTCAGCTTATTCGATACACATTTTTTAGAATTATTTAAATTTTAGATGAAAGATGGCCGTAGACTTGTTTTATTTATTACACCAGGCATAAATTAAGCGTGAAATTTTATTTTTTTTAATAAAAAAATAAGGCGCGTGGGTGTATTTTTTTTTTTAAAGTGTTGGCAGAATTTATAGAGTAGGAACTGTTTACCGGTAAGGAAAATAAAAGTATAGTTTCTTTACGACTAGAACGTAGAGATTATTTATATTGGAAGAAACTAGCAAAGACTATTGTTTGGCCCATCAGAAAGTGGGGGAGGGATCGACGGTGTTTTCTAAGCCATAACTCGGCGCTACAAATCCGATCGTAATCCCAGGCTACGTCTACACAGGTAAAGGTTTCTATATTCAGTAATTCAATCCAACGTGGAGTGGTGTGGATGCCAGAACTTGTAAGACTCGAGACGGATTATGGGAACTGCAACGTCGGTGATGAGAAGGGAATCTCGAGGGATATACATCGCCTCATGACGTCCCCAAGGTCCAATGGACCGCGCTACGGCATTCCTTTAACGGCCAAAGTGCGATGCTTTTCGCGTCGCAGACACTGGGAGAAAGGCCTTAAAAACAAACAGCACCATTAAGTGGTCCCCCATATCCTTGGCAACGGTCTACATCGGAGTAATGGAAGCGACCTTCTATCTCTATAACCTTCTCTCTCTCTCTCTCTGGCAACGGTCGACCCCGTTCCACCGACATTAAGGCTAATAGTGAGACAATTGACACAGAGCCCACTATTAGTGCCTACTTAAGTACATAAAGTAACTTGGGGAGGACGAAGCCCAGCTTAAAAAGAAACATTTGGCATTTCCTATCGCAATCAGTTACTTTTATAACTTGGGATTCCGAACAGGTTCATTCTCTTTTTTCTTTTTCCTCTCCACAAATTTCAACTTGTTTTTATTATAATTTGACTTTAAAAATCTTCTCTTTTACTTTCTTTTATTACTCTTTCTCTGTATTATTTCGTAGTCTTACATTTGCCTTTTCTCGTATTTTTACACTTCTTTGCTCGTGTTACTTGGCATTATGACTGGGCGTGGATTTTTCCAGTTTGCAACTCTTTTAAAAGAAGGATTGTAACAAAACATCCAAGTCGGAGTTTCTAACTGTCGAAGCGGCCGATTGGATGATGTAAGGAGAGAAAGAGCGACAGGTTGTTTAGAGAAAGGGGGTAGCGAGTTTTCCGGCGTGGTGAGAGGATCCGCACCCCAAAAGAGCAGCAACAATATCCTGTTTAAAATCCGAGCACAAGGGATTCGAGTCCAGAAACTTCGCTCAGATAGTCAGTGATCGAATTGGTATGTTGCAGTCTTCGATAACTCGCCGAGGGAAGAAGAAGTTTCTGAACTAATCGAAAATCTCATTCCTTTTTCCAACCGACTCCTAACTCTACAGATCAGCATTCCGTTTGACGTGGAATCTTTTCCTTTTCCTTATATATATATATATATATTTCTTTTCCTCTAGAAAATATCGAATCGAGATTCGAATTTGAAATTGAAAGCGGTTCGTTGAAGTTGAAACTCCCTGGCCAGTTGCAGATATGGATTTTTTGGGTTTTTTTTTTATTTCTTTTCGGATGGAATGGAGAACTAAGAGGTTCTCAATTCGAGAAAACTTGAAGATGGTAATGGTGCATTTTCGATTTCGGTTTCTTTTTCGGTGAATGATAACGTCGTCTTAGTAAAAGATTGAGAGTTTTCTCTATAGTTTTCTTTTATAAATATATATAAAAAATGCAATTTTTATGCTTCTATTACATTTTTTTTCTGCTGACTTTCTTCAAAATTTCATTTTAAACTTTCATTTAAAGCGGTAAATCTTCTATTTTCGTCGCTGGGAATCTAACTCCTTCTCGACAATTTTATTTCGAAATTACTCTATACTTAAATATCTGTGTCATTTTTTTAATGATTTTTTTAAAAAATAATTGCTTTACTGAATATAGAATTATTCATAGAATAACTTGTAGAAATTTACATACAGTGGCCCAGATAAGAGAAATTATTAAGGCCCGTGTCGAGCGACGGACTTTAATTTAAAAATGAAAATTATTAATAGAATATCCGAATGTAATTTATTTCGAAATGTAGATCTACATTTTAGATACGTGATTTATTAATATTCAATGGTTTAAATTTCAGATTTAGGAAGAAAAAAGTAAAACGATCGCGTACCACTTTACTTCCAGATTGTCGAGTAATTAGTTCTTGTAGGCCTTCGAAATAAGGTTTTTTTTTTTTTTACTTAATAAACTCGTTGTAAATATAAGGAAAACGATGTTTATTATAAAATGCAGAAAGTAAGAAAATCTTGGGGTTCCCTACGCTTGTGATTACTAAGAAAGATCGCTATTTACGCCAGGTTGTAGCACGCTACTTTTCATTTCCTGCAGTATCGTGCCGGCAGACATGCAAATGAAGTTGGGGGCAGGTTACGTGACGAGGGGCTTCCGTGGGACTTCGTCGATCCCCCTTCTAACAAAGCCAGGTGTTTCGAACGCACGTACCACGTCCCTTTTGCTAAGTTTATTAATTACTTCGGGTACTAAGCAGGTCCGAGATACAACTTCATCCATCAGGATGGACACTCGAGGTGCGAGCGATGCTACGCCCCTTAGGGTAGAGCACGGAAGAGAAAATCTTTGTGTTTCTACATCCTCGGGGTTTATTTTCTAGCTACGAACTACGAGATGGAAACTGTAGCGTCGAGATTTATGACATTCGTAAGCGTGTCCAGTTAATTGGTTAAAGAATTTTGTTCAATAAAGAAGAGCTAATCACGTACGACGTATCCCTATAGGGTCTCGGGTGCCCTGCAGGATCAACCCTCTCACGCCACCATCATACATCATTCCATTTTGTCCGCCCGTTGTTTCTTATCTCTCTTACCTTTAGACGGCGTGATAGAGATGTTAGAACATGTTATTTATATAACGTCCCGGAGAGGGCACAGGTGTGGCATCCGAAAGACATGGTTTGCGCATGCGTAACGTCACCATCTACCAGTCAATTAAAAGCAATCACGTAGACAACGGACGAAATTTGCCTTCGGTAAGGGCAACGTCCTACGCAATTCCTTCCTAGAATCCTTTTCTGAATTTACTTTGGTCGCTCGCCGATTTTTAGTTTTGTCAGCGGAGCCAAACTTTTTAAAGTTTCGATCCGGTTCCCACAAATCCGTATGACAACGGCCGACAATTCGGCAACACGAGAAACCTCTTATTGAATTTTTATTCTATTGTTGCGCGATATTTCGTGCAGCCGGATGCATTATTTTCACCAGCTTTGTCGTACGATCATTAGTAGCTCTGGTATCGTAATGGTAGACTGTATTGTCCCTCTTACACGTCCGATAAACGTTTTCTTTGTGTAATCAACCACTTTCCCCTGCGAAAAAATACACTTTCCGCTGGGTCTTTGACCTCTTAAACCCCGGGACGTGGAGTTAGAGGCGCGGGTAAACAATTATTGCGGCAGAAAAACCCGAAAACAGGCCCCGGTGGCTGCCACCGAAGGGGGACTTTTTTTTTTGCAAAAATTGTTTGTCTGTAGGAGATTTCCAGGTATTAACGCAAACGAAATTGTTTTTTTCAGGTCTGGTTCCAAAACCGTCGAGCAAAGTGGAGAAAGAGAGAGAACACCAAGAAAGGGCCAGGCCGTCCCGCTCACAACGCTCACCCTCAAACCTGCAGCGGTGATCCGATACCCCCGGACGAAATAGAGAGGCGAGAGAAGGACAAACGCGAGAAGAAATTGAGAAAACAACTGGAAAGACAAGCCAAGAGGCTACAACAAGCGAAAGTAAAACCGGGAGTCAATATGGCGAGTCTGACGGAATCAATTCACCAGACGCTTTCGGAAATCAGGACCGTTAATCGCAGTAAAGAAGCTAAAGAGTTATTGGGTAACGACATATTCGAACTGTTGGAATCGTTGGGATTCGACGTCTGTGATATCGTCACCAAGGCCTCGACAGGTAACGAAGCATCCAACGAGAGTGACAGAAGCGTGGTGGCCAAACAGCAGAACACAAGTATGTCGCCCGCCGTTCTGCAGAAATCCAGTTCTTTCAGCATCGAAAATATCCTGGCCGACGATCGCATGGGCAGTCGCTCTAGACTTGGTGGTGGTCATTACGTCTATCCCATCACCCAACCCGTAGGTTTTCTGGTCAGAGTCGACGATTGCGACAGCGACTGCCAACCTGGAAGCGACAGTAGTGCACCCAGTAGTCCGGCAATGACACGTGACACCGAAACACCCAATTCCGAACCGGCCGGCGATCAGGATCCGTGATCCGCTCCTCTACCTTTATATATATTTATTAAGAAGAAGAACTGGAGTCGAACTTATTCTTTAAATAAAAAACAAAACACTCGACGTGTGATTTTTAGTTTAATCGTATCCGGTTTTAGTTAGGTAGGGGAGGAGCTTTTAGTCCGCCCACCTTACCTTCTATACACTGTTCCTAGACTGGAATCTATGCTATAATTAAAACGGCGGAGACTCCTTTACGTCTTTGTATGCCTCGGATATACAAATGTGGGACTTAACGACGTGTTAAAAATGGACACTCTTTCTCTCTATTCTATCTCTTAGTTCATCGAGTTGTTAATAGATGGCGCAACTTGTGAATGGAGAGTTGCCCAAGATAACCATCGTTTCTAACCTATAGCGAGGGACATAAGAAAAAAAAAATGATAATGTCTATCTTAAATACACTAATCATGTACAAAGCATTCATAGATTGTCAATAGAATACGCTGTTGATCGTATTAAAAGGTTCCTATTGGAAACGTTTTGTCTAAGAATAAACCATTTCAAATTCTATCTCATCCCTCTCTTTTTATCCACAAAATACTCGAAATCTACTTTTTAAATCATTTAATTGTCCGAATACACTCAACGTTACTTCAATAAATACACTTATACCTTAAAAATTCTTTCATTTATTTCATTAAAACAAATATATTCTTTATAATTTACAAAATCTTTATACACAAATCAAAATAAGAAGTAAAATCTTCATAGAAATCGATTTGTTTTGGTTAAAATGACCCGATTTTTCACTTAAAAATGGAGTGAAAATTACTAAAAAGTGGGCTTTTTAGTTAAAAAAAAATTTAAGTAGAAGTTTTACTGGGAAAGATCATTTATAAAAGCGACAGACGTCATACTTTTAAATCTCATTAATAATACATTAGTAAAGGGGGACGAATTGACATAATAATTAACCAATAAGAATAGAGTAAGTCTCTATTGGCTGTAGATATATATAGGTAAGCAAAGGAATAGCCAGTCAAACTGCACGCTAAGTCATTTCCTCTAGATGATTAGCGCTCTTCTAGGAAATGCTATTGTAAGAATAATTTTCTGCTTTCTTTTTTAATAATAAAATAAAGGACAACCCTTCTAATATGATAGATTGTTTAGAATTAATAATAAAGGGGAAAAGACGTAAGATATCATTTATCAAAGGTCACCGTTTATATAAGTTGTATATATATAACCCCCCCTCTACTAATTAATTAATCAAAGAGTAAAAGGAGACCCTTAAAAGAGTATATCTTGAGAGAATTGGGAGTTAAATCCTTAAGGATTTGCTAGTTTTTCTCGCTATCATTTTTATTAGCTAAGCTAAGTATCTCGGAAAGCAGGTGGGCATTATTTGTATTGCATCTATTTCCCAACAGTCTCTTTCGCCAGTGTTGTTCTTCCCCCGTTGCTTTCCCCCTTTTCCTGAAGAGATGGAGAAGATGCCAAGGTGAAAAGATCTCGGAGAAGGTCTCGATCTCTTTACGATCAACGAGAAACGATTCAATCAGCCAATCCGTAGGGGACTCCAAGCCAAGAAGGGAGTTAGTGAAGATACATTCATTATCATCAAATAGTCGTTAGGAAGGTTCTACCTGTCTCGATAGCTAAGTGGCCCTTGGCACATCCCTTTGGAACGTTAGATTAAATTTCGTTTTTCCCAAGACGTTCATTTCAAATCGGAGGTTTTTTTCTCCTCCTCACTTCCTCTTTTTTTTTCTCCTCCTCCTCCTCTTCTTCTTCTTCTTCTTCTTCTTCTTCCTCCTCCACCGATAGGACCGCTGAATTGTGATGCTCTTCGGAGAAAATCTGCTCCAAATATCGCATACCTTTTCGATTCCCCCGTGAGCTTTTACTACGTTTTTGAAAGCAAAACTTCCAAAAATTACATTCGTAGAAATAGGATCCAAAAAAGTCACAACACTTCCCTGCAATAAAAGTTATATATACTCTGTTGATGTTGATGCTCTTAAAATGATGCTGCAAATTCTTAACTCCTGGCCAAAAATCTCAATTTTACGTCGTTAAAATACGTTAAAAAAATGAAGAATTATTGTTATTTATTAAAAATATTTGAGTTTTATAGAAGTTATTTGAGTTGTTTAAGAATTATCATCGCGCTTCGTCCCTCGTACTTCAGTTCGTACCTCTCTATTTCGATTCGTATTTTGCGTTTTCTTATATCATTTGTCTGAAAAAAAAAACCATAAAAAAAGAAATTATAATCGTTATTTATATTAAATCTTTGCGTTTTTTTAAAGCTATAATGGTTAAAAATGCTTTAAAAAATGTATTTATTTTGCATATCCTCGATGAAATTACTAACGCTTTAATATTGAAAACATAAAATGATTTCTCGTTATAATCTTAAAATTTTCTTTATTTCTTATTGTATAAATTAAAAAAACGAAGAATTATTATAATTTATTATCAATTTTCTTTTATTTTTTTGAAACCGAAGACATTAAAACTCAGATTTCCTCATTAGAAAATTTAAAAGAGCTCAAAAAAAACTATAATTTTTATATTACTAAAATAAATAATTATTACACTTTTTATACATTTTAAAGCATAATATTCATTAAAAACACTATAAAAAATTGTATTATACGCCTTCGTTTTCGACGAAAACCGTAAAGTTCTAACACTTCAAAAGACATCATTTCGTCATCTAACACTACAAAAATCTTATATATTTTTTTTAATTAATAAAAAAAATAATACTAATAATTAACAATTATAATCATTTCTTTAAAAAAATTCTTCCGATTTCGAAGCCAGAAAACTAAAAAAAAAACGTCAGTAGATAAAGTCACACGCGTTATCAACGCGAACACAAACTGGTGTTGTTACCCATTAATAACAACACTTCCTATAGGTAATAAATAAGGTAAAGACCTATTTTTTCCCTTCTGACAATAAAGTGATTTGATTCCGTTCCATAACTCAGCCATAAATTCAATCAGGTTAGACACAAGTTAGAAGCTTCTCCCCAGTGAGTCGTTGATTGTTGAACACTGTCATCCAGTTAGTGACATCGCAGCATTGACAAATGGATGAGTCTGGTCATTTCTAGACTGGGCTATTCTTGAACGCCATGTTTTTCTTCCTTCCCCCTTCTCTCTCTCTCTCTATATATATATAGATATTTTTTTTCTGTCTCCGCATACATCTCCTATGGGACTGTACTCTGTCCAATCTATGTCAATACAGAGGAATAAAGAATGCGTAAATATTCTATGTTGTCAGTTGAATCGATTTGATGACAGCCTATAGGATAATACAACGACTTGTTCATCATCCTTTGAAGATTATATCTAGGTTGAATCGACAGCAGATCCATTAGGAATCTCTCTAACCTCATAATGCCATAAAATGTGAGGTCATTCGCAGTTATCTGCTTTGAAATCGTTTTGCTAGTTTTATTTCTAACACATTTTCTATGAGTTTGCCCTTCTACTTATGATCGTATGTCGCCGAATGGAATTGGATAACGACTGAATTTTAAGACCCTTTATTTTAATAGCATTACACTATTACATCCGACATTTTTATTACGTAACATTAAGATATGCAAAAGATTCTTCCATCCCCCCTCTTCTCTCTTATTTTCGAAAATGAGATCGAAATTAACGTTCTATTTAAGATTAAAAAATACTTTAAGCGTATTTAAAATCGCTTAAAAAGTAGAGATTTTTCAATATAATCTCATTAAAATCATTCTAAATTCTTTAATAAACATTAAAAATGTACTTCAGTACTCTTTTTAACATCATTTTCTTAAGGAAAAAGAAGATAATTTTAAGCTTCTTTCCAACATTTTTCCAAAGAGAAATATGATAAAATTATCTTCTAAATTAATCGAGTTACGAAGTTAAAACAATAATTTAATATATATTTAAAAAAATATATATTAATTTAAAATTTTTAAAACAATTTTTTTGTCTTTTACCCCATTGATTATAAACTGATAATGCGATAAGATAGTAGATGGAAAAATGAAGAAAAAAAAAATCATCTTCTAACAACCGACTGTAAATCAATATTCGTTCTCTTTGAAGTTAGAATGTTGGTGAAAAAAGCCGTTTTAATTTCTTCTTCCCAAAGAGGATCGAAATTCTATTATTTCGAACAGAGATCAAGTTAGCTCGATAGGAAACGAAGAAATAATTATGAAAGAAGATGTTCGAGTCTCGTGGGAAAAAAAAGGAAGAAATCCAAGGATTTATTGAAACTCTACGCTTTAGATGACTTTTTTTTTCGCTCTCTCTCTCTCTCTTTTTCTACTAAAACACCTCCACCAAATCTATTAGCGATATGCATTTAACTATCTTCTCTAACTAATTTTAATATTCAAAACTATTAAACTCTTCCTCATCCGTTCTCCTTTCGTATACAAGTCGA